AAAAAAAAAAATAGAAATTAATTGGCCAACTAATATATATAGAAATAATTAGCCGGGCATGGTGGTGCGTGCCTGTAGTCCCAGCTACTCGGGAGGCTGAGGCAGGAGGATCGCTTGAGCCCAGGAGTCTGAGGTTGCTGTGAGCAAGGCTGACGCCACGGCACTCACTCTAGCCTGGGCAACAAAGCGAGGCTAAAATAAAATAAAATAAAATAAAGAAAAATAAAAAATTAAATTAAATTAAAAAATAAATAAAAAATAAAATAAAAAATATAAATAAAAATAAATAAAAAAATAAAAAATAAAATAAAATAAAAAATAAAATAAAATAAAAAATAAAATAGTGAAAACCTAAGAAAATTACATTTAATCATCCAAACCTCCAGAAGAGACAAATGACGGTCTGTCACACTTGGTTTTGCAAAATCTAAGAACTGTCCGTGGTGCTTAGAAAAATGCAGGATTCCTTTAAACCAATCCCGGGTGCTCCTGTGAAAGTCCAGTTTGCAGTCGAGCCCTCCGGGACACGCTTACACGTGGAGACGGACCCCTGGGGCAGACGGCTCCCCGACAGCCGCCAGTCTGCGAGTCGTGCTTGCTCAGACACACACGGGGCCCATGCCCGGCTCCCCGGGGTGCCAGAAGACTGATCCAAACCCGAAAAATTAACCCGTTTTCACGACCACCATTTAACGTGTCGGAATGTCATAGGAAGGTTCCCGATAGCAGTGATGTTCTTGCAGCACTGCCCAGCCCGCACAGCCCAGCGGGGACGCAGGGTCCGCCCTCACAAGTACCCAGCGTGGCCAGGACAGTGCTCGGACCTGCAGTGGGGGCGGCACCCGGAGGGCCACCGAGGGCGGACGCCAGGCTAAGGAAGGACACGGGCGAGGTGAGCTGCCCAGGGGAGGGCGCCCTGCACGTGGCCTCACACTCACGGAACAGAGACGTGGCACGGGGACACACACGTGCACACTCCCACACATAGCATGGACATACATGCACATATGTACACGCACATTTATGCACTCACACACATATGTACACACATGCAGTCCTTTACACAAAGCAGACACACAGCACAGACATGTGTGCATGTATGTACACATATGCACACTCCTTTACACAAAGCAGACACATACACAAGCACAGACATGTACACACGTATGTACATTCACACATATGCACACTCCTTTACACAAAGCAGACACACTTATACACACAGCACAGACATGCACACATGTATGTACACGCACACATGTGCGCACTCCTTTACACAAAGACCCATACACACAGCACAGACATGCACACACGTCTGTACACGCACACATATGCACACTCCTTTACACAAAGCAGACACACATACACACACCACAGACACAGTCCAGAGGCATCACTCACACGCACCCTACAGAGACACCCTATATAGACACCCCCCCCACACACACACTCATGAGATATACACGTAAGGCACACGCCACACACAAATACAGCCCTACACATACACCATGCCCAGATACACCGCATACATGTACATGCCCAGTCCTCACACACACACACACCGCTCATGCACCGCACACACAAAACACTCACTGTATCCGCACAGACTCGCACCCGCCACACTCACATCCTTTCACACGGACGCCCACGCTCCTCACCACACACCTCCCTCCCGTCTTCGGGTCTCGCTCACAGCCGCAGAACGGGTGTGACTGCCCTCCTGCCTGGGATCCCGCCAACGGGCCCCCAGTTCTGCAAACGCCGTCCCCTATGGCGGCCGCCGCACCCCCGCCACCGCCCTCC